CATTTTTTTCTATGATAGATACAGGAACGTAGTAAACTCTTGCTATTTAACATAGTGATTATATGGAAATAGTCAGTCTAGAGCCTATGGTGCTTTTTTAACGCTTGAGAACAGCAAGCTCGGCATTTGGCCTTTGCCTCCAAATATCACAAATATTCACACAATGTATTGACTGAATCACGACTCAAGATTTCAATCTGTTCCATAGTACTTTGCTTTGGTCTTGCAACACATTTCAAACTTTAAACACATTTCTACTTCCTCTGGAAATGAGTTGGCCTTTAAACAATTCCTATCCTCGGAGATGATATAAACAATACTTTTCAGAACAGAAAGAGAAAACAAGCATTTTCGATTTGTTTTATTTTAAAGACATAAAACAGACTAACAGAAAAAGGGACAAAATAGTCTGCTAGTTGTTCCTCTTGAACCTTTATTGTACTTGGCTTTTTATTGTTCACATAGCTTTCCATTATTTGGCTACTTGGTGTTTTCTTTCATCACCGAGGCCCTGAAGCAACGGATAAAAAACAACTGTGTTGGTGGGATTGCATGGATTATTAAAACATGCAATATGCATTTACAAGACAATTAAATATGTTTGTGATTATGAAATCTTAAGATCTTAACTGATTTCATATTGATCACATAACAATTTTGCAATCATTTGTAGTTCTTGGACTCTAAAAGCAGTTTATTTCCTGGTTCAGGAAAGGGGTCCTGGAAAGCCACACCCAAAGAGACAAATCTGCAAATATCAGCAGTTTTCCAGCTTCCACCACCAGTTGATCTTGGAACCAGCTAATCTCTCACACCAGTGGGGTGCCTGCCTATGTCAAGCGAGGCACAGTGCCATACCCCTTCGGTACGACACTGAGATTGATACCTTGTTGCACTCTGATTTTCCCACAATACACATATGAGAGCTGTAGAAGTAGGATGGCTCCATGCATTGCCATTGCTCTATAAAGTGTTGCCCATTGTCATCAATGGAGTTGCCAGAACTCTTTTACCCAAAGGGCTCTGATAAATACAGTTGAATGTCCAGTAAAAAAAACTTATGGAAAATTCCATCCATTTTCTGTCATGCTTTATCCCACTGGGGTGCTGGTGCCTATCTTCAGCTGTCTATGGGCAAGAGGTGGGGTACACCCTTGACAGGTCGCCAGTTCATTGCAGCGCAGCTCAGAGACAAACAGGACAAACAACCATTCACACATACACTCTCACTTAAGGCTGATTTATACTTCAAAACTAGGTCGTCTGCCTAGGTGTCCCAATGAACGCAAAGATGTCCCCGTCCCCTTCGTAGAAACTGTGCTTCACCTTCTTGACTGCAGACACTGCCGCAGGCAGGAAGCCAGCTTGTTCTGTTTTTATGACCGCAATTGCGGTGTGCGAGAACGCTGGGAGCCTTTTTCCACCTGGATCCCAGCTCTTTTTCGCCATCATGTCCCTCCGTTCTCGGACAAACTTGCCCCCATTTCCTCTCCGCCTCGGCCGTATCTAGACCCATAGTGTATAGCGCAGACCATGCTCAAAAATGTCTGCCTCAAGCTCACTGCGGCACACTGCTGCTGGGAGTATAACCAGCACTTGAGGAGAATTTAGATAAGCCAATTAACCTAACTGTCAAGGACAGTGGGAGGAAGTTGGAGTACCCAGAGAGAACCCAAGCATACACAGGGAGAATGTGCAAACTCCATGCTGATAGACCCAGGGAAAATTCCTTCCAAATAAATACAGTACTTTATACTTCAAATTGACAGACTTTTCTTACAGTGTAGAAAAAAATCAACATATTGAGACCTAAAGAAACAAGATTGTGAAGTAAACATCATGAAAATCACTGACATCAATCCAGCTGAAAAGGGTTACTGAGTCATTTCTGAGGCTTTTGGACCCCAACAAACCACAGAGTTTCCCAAATAGGGAAAACATGGAGCAGTAATATACAATCCCAGAAGGGGCCAGACTACCAAAGCTTTACTTGAAAAGTAAATTACCCATCCTCTGGGACGTCACATAAGAACACTGGACAATCTTTAAAGCACTGCAGGCCTCACTTACTTTATTTAGGGTCAGTGTTTGTTTTAACACTAAAAATGACACTAGCAAAGATTGCTTCTAGGAGAATTCTTCAGTAAAAACCATTTTATGACAAAAAACACAAACAAAAATCCCACAAAAGATTCTTGACAGTCCACAAGTTAAAATAACCCGTTAGACTTTTGGGACATATAAAAGTGAAGCTTTCACAAATGTTTCTCTCTAGTTACATCCTGCAAAGAAGTAAACACTTTAGACAGAGAGCCACCTGAAACGAGCTGGTTTACCATTGCCTTTTCCAACATTGAAATATCTATAGATCAATGTTTTATGTGCCTTTTGTATGTCTTCTTCTCCCTCCTTCAATCCCCAGTCAGCCTTGGCAGAAGCCTGGGTCCGTTGGAGGTTTCTTTCTGTTAAATAGGAATGTATCTCCTCCACTGACACTGCATACATGCACAGTGAGAGAGACTGCTGTAGGGTCAAAGAAATGAAGAGAATGAATGTAATTGTCACCACATGCTCATCCAGGAGGACTGTATCCTGAAAGTCAGTGATTCGATGCAGTCAGCTGGTTTCCTTAGAGAAATTTTAACCAACCTTACTAAAAGATATGATAATATTGTCTCTGTAAAGCGCATTGAAATAAAATGGGCTGTTTATTTGAATAGAGCACTGAGAAATATATCATAGTAACAATAAAATATGGTATTCTTGTAATGGTCTGGGAATGCTTTGCTTATTTAAGATTTGGAAGACTTGCTTACATGATGGAAGAAAAAAATCTCAAGTGCAATTAAGTTAGCCACCAGAACGGCAATACGGAGAACAACAAGTTGTCTGCCTCTTGATATCTCCAAAAGAATCCTAGTCAAAGTCTAGACTTATAGTTAAGCCCATAGATATACATAGCCTTGGCAGTTGGGTGAAAACTTATCTTTTAATGTTACCATGTTGTTTTTGTTTCTGGAAGTGGAAGTGATGATTTGGAGTGGCCCAGTCAGAACCCAACTTCATTATCATGAAGAGCATGCTAGAACGTCAGCTAAACTATTTTTATATAAACACCTGGAGAATAAAAAGCAACTAACTTTTACTCCCAATATTGACACTTGGTTAAAGCTTAGATCTGCCACACTATTACATCATTTTGTGACACGACAGAGTGAACCTCTCTGGCCATATATTGACTTGCAGGTTGTATCGCAGGTTGTCGACATTGTATCACGTGACATACATGTGAATTGCGATGAAAACTTTACCCTAAAAAGTTATTGTTGCCAGCTTTGCGAACAATGGGGTTGGGATGTTTTAACAAGCAGATCTAACCACGCTGAAGACACCACAATCTGGCAGGATTATCTCCTTGATAAGAGCACCCAAGCAGCTCTCAGTATCAGGGGCTCTCAGAAGAGGAAGATCAGGCAGAAAGTGGTGACTTGAGTCTTTAAAGTATTTCTTCAATAACAACAAGGACTAAGGCAGCAAAGCACATGATTCTCACAAAAAAAGCAGATGTAAGTGCCAGCAGATGCCTGTATATTCTCTTTGAGAAAGGCAAAATCGGGTAATTGACCTTGCACAAGAGGGAAACAATTTGCCATCAGTTCTATGGTACTCCTGATTGGCTTGCTGAGCTGAAAATATAGAGGCCCACTTACCAGTCTCTTCATGCAGTGAGACATTGCTCAACAGAAACACATACACACTAACACACACAGCTTTGCGGATAGGACAGTTGCTTCCAATTGATTGGTAACCAAGGGTCGATAGGCCAGTTGTATCAGCCGTAAAAAAAAAATCAACAACATTAGATGTTATACTTTAGCCTAAGCTTTAAGACCAACATCACTGATATGTATTCTGTGTTTCATTCACTGTATCATTTATTTTCTTTTTTTCTTTGTGAGTCCAACCATGTGTTACATTAATATATCAGTTATAGTTCCAAAATGTCACTTTCTCCTATAGCATCTTTGCACCAGAAGCTAATTTGTCTAATAGCTTTGTAAAAAAAAAAAAATAAAAAATAGAGAGACAATATGTACTGACTGTACACATCTATGAGTGTAGCAAAGAAAATGTCAATTTTATTTATATAGGACATACAACAGTAACACAATGTTTCTAGGTGTATGTTTTGAGTCCAAACTGAGTTTGACTTGACTATGTGGGAACGTCCATGGAGGCATGTACCCTCAACAAATTGGCAGCTTTTACTTAGAATAGCGGTAATGCACTGATCTTTTTGTATTTTTCAAAAGGTTTGTATCACTAAAGAAAAGGGTATTTTTTTCTTCTGTTTAGTACTGTATTCAGTGCAACTTAAGTTACATAGATGATGAGGTGAGACCTGCAGACACAATCTATCATTGCAGGCAGTGTCAGAGGACTGGCAGGACTAAGTTGGGTTTTTTGCCGTGTGTTTGGAAGTATTTTAGGGATGTTTTTGCCTGTGAGAACATAACATAAAATAAGAACCGTCGACACTATTAGAAGCTGAATGCAAAGAGCTTCCTATTTCAGCCTTTAATGGCCACAATTGTATCTATTCAAGCTGCTTTCTGAATTAACCAAATCACACATTCATAAAGGCAAGAAACCAGCACTTTCAGGCAGGCAACCAAAAATGCTTTAAATTCTAAATTACATTAAAATTACACTAACATGAGGAGTTTTAGAGGAGCAATGACCTAAATGCAGTTGTGAGTTAGCCCCTGTGCTGAAGTAACTTATTTCCCCCAAAATAATAAACTACGGGGAAAAAAAGTGGAATTCAGAGCAAAGTGTTTGAGAGCATTTAGCTAATTGAAACCTTAAAGCAAACACTCAGTCACATCTTAAAACCCACCCTTCCTCCGTCAGGATGATCAGCCGCCCTTGCTGTACACATTCCAGTCTGATTGGCTTAGCCTCTGGCCTCCAGCCCAAAGTGCGTCTGTATATAAAAACTCCCCATGTGCTGAAACCCAGAGACGGACAGCAAACAGAGCTCGTGGAGACTTTCAGAGGACTAACAGGAAATAACAATTCTTTTCTAAGTGCTGCAACTGAAAACATCAGAAAATGTGTAAAGGATTAGCTGCGTTACCTCAAACCTGTATTGAGAGGTAAGAGCTGCTTGTTCACTTAACTTTACATCTGCAGAGTTAGTTGTAAACAGTTCTAAATTAAGAGGAGAAATTTATCAGTGGATCTATGATTTATTTCAGTCTTTAATCAACAACTTTCATATAAAGCATTTTAAAGTAATATAGGGACAAATATTTGAGCTCTTATTTTTTTTTCTCAAATTTCTTTTCATCCTTTTTGTATGCTCTTTTGGCATATTAGATTGTTTTGAACGTATTCATGTCAGTTTAAAGGGCCCCTTCATCTTTTTTTATTAGTTCAAAACCTGAAATACAAATTAACAAAGGCCTCTTATTAAATAGTTTCATCTGAACCAAGAATCAAGATCAGACAGCTTCCTAAATCCAAATGAAAAACCAGAACAAAAGGACCTGACTAGCTTTGCAGTTAGTGAGATTTTTAAAAATCAACTTTACATCTGCTACATGCAGCTTAATCTTGTCAGCTTTAAATTTATTAGAATAATTTAACAATAAAACAAAAAAAGATTTATCATACATGTTGAAATCTAATCAAAGTTACTTTCTCAAGATTAAAAAAACAAAGACTTAACATCTGCTTCTGCTGTGCCTGACACAGGGCTAAAGAGATCAAGTCAAAGTTGGGAGTTTTGCTGCAGAAGCCAGAAAATGCCATCGACCTCATCATCCCATACCCGGAGAAGGTTGACAAGAAGCCGGAGAAGCTGCAAAAGTGAGTGTTCTGTTGTTGTTTTTTTTTCTTCTGGAGCGATGAGTGTCTGTGCCTGTAAGGCGGGTTGTGTTTTGGCTGTTGCCCTAACAAGATAAATGACGGTGAAGTGGGAGGACAGAGCCCTGAGCAGTCACAAAGAGGTGCTGATCAAAAGAGATTAGACCTCCCCAGACACCGGCTGAGCTCAAATGTCAGATGCTATAAAGCAGATACTTTGATTATACTGCTTAAAGATAAAGATGTGTGGGAAAAACTCAACCTTGTGTAAAGTTTTTTTGTTTGAACTCTCTTACAGTACAATCTTTTAAGCATTACTGTTTTACTCCTTATGTGACCTAAAGAAAATTAAAAAAAAAGGTCTCAGATGTATCGTCTTTGCTAGGATAAGAAAGATCATGTTATATGTCATTAAGTTTAATCAAATCATGTCTATTTTCCACTTGAGGGCCTTTTTGATGAGAATGTTTGTCATTCTGTTTGGTTTTCTTAAAACCACTTTAATTAGATTATCTCTGTGGATTGTAATCACTCCCTTAGGCTTCTGCCCATGTAGCTGAAAGCATAAGAAATTATGCCCATTCATATTTACCCATTAATCTGTTGTTTTCACTGTTGTAATACTTTCTATCCCGCCTCAAATCTTTCTAGCTGTATTTTAGGCATGAAAAAATGCAAAAAGGAGACAGAAAAGCAACGGTATCTAAGGATCAAGCGACAACTTAGAGTTAACAGCCCCCTCTGGAACTTGTTTTTAAGTTACAGTTTTAAAATTTTTCATGATGAACAACACCAGCCATTGTCTGCTGTGGGGAAATGGTTTCCAGATTGTAATTAATCGGAGCAAACAAATCAGAGGTTTGAATCTTCATGGTTTAAGATACATGTGATGAAAATAGGAAGATTTATTTTATCTTTTAAAACATGCATCATTTATTTAATTGTATAGAGCTTTAAAATAAGCCACCAGGGTAAAAAAGGAAAAAAAAGTATTCAGCAGTAAGATCATATAGAAAAAAACATACTCAACCATATAACCAGACAACAGAAAAATAAAATCACCAATGCTACTTATCATTAAAAGTCTAGCTAAAAGACATAGGTCTTATGCTTCAGTTAAAAATGCATGGGTGGAACAAAGGTCTAAATGAAGCAGGGTGATCTAAAGTTGGGGAGGTTTCACTAAAATGTCCAGCTACCCCACTAATTATTGATAAAATAAAAGTATTATGACCTGAGAAATCTGCCATGTACAGAAAAATATAACAGCTCAGATCAATAAGATGGAAAGAGGCCATCTATAAAGTGGACAATAAGCCATGAGTGATGTGGATAACGAGAATAAAAGAGGATGATGGTTGCATGTCTAAAGGTGTGACGGTCACATTCTGGACAAGTTGGAGACATCTAAGGAAGACCAAGAGACACCACTTTAGAGACACCAAGTACAGCAGTCCATGACTAATCAAAGCTGAGGAATCCTTCTAACATTAAAAGCTTCTAAAGGCTTCTTTTCTCTAAATCTGGTTAAGAGGCAGTTTTGTTTTTGTTGTTGTTTTTTATCCGCAGCTTTCTTAAATCTTTACCCTCTCAAATATAAAACAGGTAAACTGATCTTCTTTCTCTGTAATAAATGCCTGTTAACTCATACAGAACCCTTTTTCTATACCAGGCCAACTCCTGAGGAAGCTGCTCAGTGGCGTGAGAGTCTGGAACGAGTCCTGAACAACAGCTGTAGGTCTTTTCTTTTTTGTTTGATCTCTTACAGGTTCTGTGTCGGTTATTAGAAAACTTATTTGTCACCAAAAAGTGATTTTAATAACACATTATATCTCTTTAAAAGTGGGTAATGGAGTTCTTTAAACTAAAGATCAACGTTTATATGTTAGTTTCTGGTTTATGTGCTGCCAAATAACCATAAAAGATTATCTTTGATACTTGTTTTCTTGTTCTTAATATTATGTTAGGTTTTTCTAAATTTTAATATAAAATGCAAATACATGATAGTATATTTGTTGTTGTTTTTTTTTACAATTATGTACTTTCATCACTAATTTTGTTGTCTGGAAGCCCAAAGCAGCACACAACTTGACCATTTTAAAAATACCTATTGCACTTTTCTGCTTTGAGTTGTGTGAAGCACAAGCGTCATTATTTTATATGATTCACACCGTTATATAACATCTAGTGCAACATATCCCCAAATTATATATGATTTTTCTAACCGCTTACCTGTGTTGAGCAGGGTCTGTTTCCCAATAACTCTACAGCTTGTGTTCTTGCTTAGACATCCAAAAGGTGATGGTGGTGATGGCTATTAGAGATGGCAAATATAATTATAAGAAGAGTTTTCTTCTTATTATGTAATCAGATCCACTGTGCTTTAGAGCTTACAGGATATATTAAAGCACATATAATAGGTTTGATAAATGTGTGACGTGAAATATAAAGATCCAGAGATGAAGAATTTTTCTGTGAAGGTTTTAGTTTAAGAACCAGATTTTATTACCCAGTTAGTAAATGCTTTTAAATCGAATAATCAAAAAATATTGCACAATTTAAAGCAGCTCAATGACTTTCAAATTAGTTAAATGACATAAAATCTATTTCAAGCTCAACCTATACTGTATAGGGTAACAGTCTGGCCAAATGATGAGAAAAATGTTTTTGGTGTAAAAACACACATACTAAAACCAAAATCTGATGAGACCGGAATCAACTCCCCATAAAACAGAGGAGCTATTCCAGGAGGAGCCTTTGGTGGAGTAGTCAGAATAACCATGTACTAGTTATGGGTAATAAGACATGGATAAAAAGTTACAGCTGTAAGACCAGAAACATTTTGTGTCAAACCTCCTACTGTTTAAAATCATACTATCAACTGGTAAAATTAAGTCTCCTTTAATTTATCTTTGCTTGTAATAATGACACATTTGACTGTTTAAAGAAAATTTTCTAATAAAAAAAATAACGACACGAAAAGGACAAGATAAATGCAATGCTATAACTTACCTCAAACTTGATAATAAAAAATTTCAGGCTGCAAGTTAAGACAATCTTAGAATAATAAAAGTAAAGCCAGTTCTACAGCATTAGAATAAGTCTTTGAAAAAATGTAGACAGAAAGATTAAAAAGGAGGCAGCAGTGAAAGCTCATTCCTTAGGAACATATTGATCGTTGCACGCAGCTACAGCTCACACTGTACGACGAAACCGCAAGTTTTTGTCGTACAGTGTGAGTTCACAGCTCAAGATGTATGTTCTCACTCTGTGCAGCCTGACGCTCTGATTCGATCTACCTGCTCACACTGTACGTCTAAAAACCACGTCGTACTCAGCTCTGTAGTGAGATGGCGCTACTCAGACTCGTCTATCCAGAAGCCAAATGAGTAGAAGAGGAATATGAAGCTCACTACAGAGAAATGTGCTGCCTTGGCTATTCTGTGCAAAAGAAAAGGCGGCAACGTATTTGGACAAAGATATGGCTAACTTAACGTGGCTACTACGGTCTGTCAATTTTACAGAAAGAACTCAATTTCACTCGCACCCCCGCCATGCTTCTTTGTTTTCATTTGAGAGGAAGAAGAAGAAGAGTTCTTGTGTGCGCATGCCCACTGAGTGATTTGCCCACGACAGTTGCCTGAAAATCAAACATGTTTGATTTTCTCCCGACCTCACGAATCCTGATCAAGGGTGGTTGTGAGAGGGTAATCGCCCGTCATTACCCCCTGTACACTACACAACCCACGACATACGATCAGGCCGAAAGTCGGGCTGATAGAAAAATTCTCACGCGACTGGAAAGTCGGCCCGAAAAGGGCAAAAAATCGCACAGTGTAAGCCCGGCGTTACCCTCACAAACTTCCCAGAAAAACACCGCTTAGGACGTGAAAGCAGCATGTTCTGCCCCCAGCATGTCTGCCACTCTTAATACAAGACCCTAAATCTAAGCCTAACCTAAAACTTTTACGGCAATCCTTTCACAATATTTTTTTTATAAATACTGCTGGTATATTGTGAAGCAGCATGCTCTTCATAAATTCATCTTAAAAGTATTATAAAATATGACTTCTCTTAATTTCAATCATGATTATCTTCGACAATTGTTTCGGTATCCAAAATAAATGCTACTTTTATTATTTTTTTATGTTTTATATATAAGCTTTTAGATAAAAATACTTTTTATATAAACATTTTCTCTGAAGGTCTTATTTTTCATAAATACATTTCCATAAGAATCTCATGCTAGCCCATGTGAATTTTTATGCATAGTAAAATCCTCAATAATAATTACTTCACGAAATAAAAAATAAATCAGTGGAAACATTCAATTGAAAATATCTTAAAGGTGATGGTAACACAAGGGCAGTTTAGGTGATGACTAGGGAGATATGTAAGTAATGCCTAAGTGGGGAAAACACATTTGTAATCCTCAAGCATACCAGAAACAGACCTGCTGCTTCACTGTTTACTTCACAAAGTGCTCAGAAAGCCAAAGCGGTGAGACGGATGATTAGCTCCAACAGTTAATGGTATTTATCCATATGTGTAAACTCTCCTGCCAATAAGTCACTCGTGTTAAAGCCATGTACAGATGTCACGAGAGCTGATTTGTGGAAACTAAAACATTATCTTTGAGGAGCTATGTGTGTAAGAAAACAGCTCACTAAGTGACATCTTCAGCAAAGTCTAAGACTGAGAGATGTTTAAATAGCGTTTGCATGCTAGAGTCAATCTGTGCACGGACTTGTGTTTGTGTATTTAAGCTGCCCATGAAGGTTACTTCTGTTATGGTAACATCTCTTGGGAGAAATCTGGCTTAGTCCCTGTGCTGATTAATATCTTGGCTGCTGCTACCCGCTGTGTCATGATTACTGACTGACTTTTTATTGACATTATTCCTCTTGTTTTTGTATGTTTGACTATTTCAGAAAAATGAATTATTTTTAACTAAAAGAAGCAAAACATTGCAATAACTGCAAAATCTATAGCAACATTGCTGACGTTCAGCTAAACAACCTTTAATTGTTCATACACAAAGTGTTTGTCCTCTGTGGCTTTGCATGTGTGCATCCACGTTTGTGTGTCCTTGTACTAAGGTCTGTTAAAAAAAATAAAAAATAACCCAAAACAAAAACAAAGGAAAGGCTGGAGCTTGATTGTAACTCCAAGCTATTTTGAATCAAGCAAGCCATTTAGATGAGAGATAAAAGCCTGAGGCCACAGCAGAATGCTTATCATCTGCAACACCGGCTTTTTCAGACAATGGGAGCTTTCACCAGCATTGTGTAAAATCACAATGGCCTTGACTGAGATTCGTGGATGTTGTACTAAACATCACTTTGGAACAACCACAGAGCATTTTCTTAGAAAGTAACCAACACTTGTCCTTGAAAGTATTTTACAACAGTTTTTAGTAATTGGATTAGCAAATCAAATTCTTATGTTTACTCTCTTAGAAGATTTTCATTAAACTGCGCTAATGCATGAAAAAACCTGTTAGAAATTGATCAGGGTCATTGGGAAAGATATTTACAAACATTGTATTAGATTAATACAGTTTTGATGAAACTATGTGAATATATTTTGATGAAAAGAATATAACAGAAGGATATCAATTTTAAGTTATTTATTTCTTTATGTTAATCAAAGGACTGTGACTTTTAAGCTGTAGCATTTATATACGCTATATCATCTTGTTTCCATGAGATATAAAAATTATACATCACACATTAAATGCTTTTCAAAATAGGAAATATGACCCAAAATTGAATTTAAACAGAGGAGATTTGTGTTCTTTTTAAACAAAGCAACAAAGTATACCTTAATGTTTAGAATTCAAAGAAAATAAAAAATGCCTTTTAGAGAATAACTCGGAATCTCATTGTGTCAAAGACTTGAACAAGGTGCAGAGGAACACTCAAAAGCATTCTAAAAAGTTAAAAAAGAAAACCACTAGTCTTTGTTTTCCAAGTTTGAAGACGTTTTGCTTTTTCAACATTTTTGAAGTTTGAAACGTCTTCAACCTTGGAAAACAAAGTCCAGTGGTTTTGTTTTTTAACCTTTTTGGAATGATTATGACCTGGATGAATGAGAATCTTCACCAGGATAAATAATCAAAAGCAGCATGGTGAATCAAAAGATGTAATAAAGATAATATTAAACTTACAGAACATAAACAGGTCTTTGAAAGAGAAGGTAAGAAGCCAAACCAGTGGCAAAGAACCAACCAAGGTGGTAAAATGGGGATAACAGGCGCCAGCAAAAAGAAAAAATATGCGACTCAGGTGATAGAAACACAGGAGAGAAACACAGGTTAAGATCAGGAAATCAGAAACAACAAAGTACTCTAAAAACACTCTCACCACTACCTACAGAGAAGTAGTTAATCTGCCCCTGATGACTGGATTCAAGCTCCTTAAATAGAGGCAGGAGCAGGTGGATCAGATGAGAGGTAATGAGCAACCGGGCAGAGTTAGACAGCTGAATGGATGAGTAATTAAGCCAGTTATCAGTGCCAAGATCTTGACAAATAGTGATCATAAAGAAAGGTGCTGAAAGACAGGAACACAAAATAAAAGCAATGGCTAAACACTTCCCAGTGAAAAGCAATGGCCAAACACTTCCCAGTCATGACAAAGCTAGTTTTTTTAGATTGAAATTATTTACTAAAATCACTAGAACATAAATGTTTTTTTTTTTTTTTTTTTAGTTTCAGTAACCAAATCAATCAG